ACGCGACAGGCGACGCATGGCTGTTGATATTGTTACCAACAAAAACGAGGTAAGTAGTCCTTGACAACACCATGATTTTAAGGCCAAAACTTCGTAACCAAACTTCCCTCGTGCCTTACTCAAGAGATAATCGTAGTAAACTGTATCAACGTACTAGGTTTTGGCTCTTTTTATTTCGTCTGTGATTTTCTAATTCATTTTAGGCTCTATTTTCTTTCAAGACCGATCTGGCTGTGAGAAAGCCACCCAACTTAGTTTGACGGACTAGCAAAAAAGCGTGACAGATTTGTATACCTAGCGTGACAGAATGCCCTAAACCAAGTTAACCTTGCTCGCTCAAAATTGCTCGACCTAATGTTCCCCTGATTTTAGTACTGCAAAAGGGTTTTTAAGGGTGATGTGAGGTTATTTCCCGCAGCATCAAGAACTTTGTTTCTTTCTCAGGAATCAAATCTGCATGCATTCCTTGTACGCGTTAGTGATCAGTGCGTTAACTGTTCGGGTAGTGTTATTAATGTTGTGTGCTTTATGTCTTTTTNCCTTGACAACACCATAATTTTAAGGCCAAAACTTCGTAACCAAACTGCCCTCGTGCCTTACTCAAGTGATAATCGTAGTAAACTGTATCAACGTACTTGGTTTTGGCTCTTTTTATTTCGTCTGTGCTTTTCTAATTCATTTTAGGCTCTGTTTTCTTTGAAGACCGATCTGGCTGTGGTAGAGCTACCCAAGTTAGTTTGACAGACTAGCAAAAAAGCCTGACAGATTTGTATACCTAGCGTGACTGAATGCCCTAAAAAAAAGTTAACCTTGCTCACTCAAAATTGTTCGACCTAATGTTCCCCTGATTTTAGTGCTGCAAAAGGGTTTTTTAAGGGTAAGGTGAGGTTATTTCCCGCACCATCAAGAACTTTGTTTCTTTCTCAGGAATCAAATCTGCATGCATTCCTTGTACGCGTTAGTGATCAGTGCGTTAACTGTTCGGGTAGTGTTATTAATGTTGTGTGCTTTATGTCTTTTTTTTTCTGATCCATTGTCATCTCTTGTTGGCAGGATTAATTCGACAGGGTGCACGGTGTAAAGCTTGTAAAATGAGTGTTCATCACAAGTGCCGTGACAATGTGCCATACTGTCCTGGTGATAGGGTGAGTATTGTGCAGTGGGATAGCTTTTTCCAGGCGTTCGTTTAGAGATGGGGGGTTGGCGAGATTAACGAGAAAGAAAAAGTAGGGGGCTGGGGAAAAAAGGCGAGGGGGTTGAGGCGAAAAAGGGCCTGCTTTCTTCCCTAGATTCCCTTTCTTTCTCGCACTCGGCTCGTTCCCCATTTGCTCAGAGCCTGGGGCAGGTTGGCAAGGTGAATGATCGAAGAGTATTCCATCGCAGGGCTACCCCCAGCATTAAATTTGCCGGTACCCATTTGTACAATTGGGTAGAGAGGTGCTCTGTGAGAGTAACGTGTCTTGCCCAAGAACACAACACAACGTTCCCGGCCAGGGCTTGAACCCGAACCACTTGCTCCGGAGTCTAGCGCACAAACCATTAGCCCACGGCGCCGCTCCGCATTGGTGGTAGTTACTAATTTAACCAGAATATTGTTTTACATTTTACAGTCTACAAAGGGACAGTCACTTCGGATACAACGCAATCAAGATGACGATTCAGATGGTCCCGTGTATAGTGATGTTGATGATGCCCCTACCCCACCCCCTCACAGGAGGGCGCTGGGTCCGTCGGCATCGTTACCCGCTTACAGGACAGATCACGATTTTTATGGTACGAAAGAAAGTGGAGTAACTGTTTTACCAAAGATGCGAGTTTATTAACAGGTTTTATTATATGGCTTGTTCTTGTAGCCGATATGAAGAGTGCTTCGATTGGCTAATTGAAACGCGTTATTCTCCCGTAATGCCCACGGGCCGATTACGGGCTTGCAAAAGCAAAGCAAAAAGCCATATAATAAACAACTTATTAACCTCGAACGTTCGGTCTTTACGGGAAAATCTCAACCCTCGACCTTGCCGTATTGACCTCGCTATCGCTCGGTTAATACGCCAAGGTCTTGGTCGGAGATTTTCCCGTAAAGACCTCACTCTCGGTAATAAGTAGTTAATCTACCATAGAGAACGGTAACTTCCTTTTAAGTAGGATCATCGCTGTTCGTTGAAATTGGTGTAGAGAGTTTTCTTAGGGTTCAATCTGGTGCTTAAAGCTAAGACGTGAGACAAACTTGAAATCTATTGAATGTTCATCTATAAATGGGAAACCAATTTCCCATTCCCTTAATTTTGTTTCAGGTGGCATTCCATACTCTACCCGTAACTCATTGCCATAGTTTTAACTAAAATAGCTATCACTCTTGAGTAACTCTTCAGCTGTGGTCACAATGTTGATGTCTGATTTAACGATACTTTTGAATTCGTGGTTTTAGATGCGGTAGAGGCGATGATTCCGTCATCAGGAACGGTAAGGGCATGGTTGAATAATAACTGCTTATTAACCGGGAGTGAGGTCTTTACGGGAAAATCTCAGACCGAGACCTTGCCGTGTTGACCGAGCGATAGGTTTGAGATTTTCCCGTATAGACCGAACGTACGAGGATATGGCATTTTCTTTGTTTTTTGCAGGTCCGTAATCGGCCCGCGGACATTACGGGAGAATAATGCCCTAGAATTAGCCAATCATAGCGCGTGTTATATCGGCTACAACACAAGCCACATAATAACAAGTTGTCATGTTACGTAATCCTTCACGCGAGTGCTTCGTAACCATGGTAATGTTCGACAATGCCACAGGAACGTGCAGCACTGAGTGTTTTTGACGTATTTGCATTTCAAGACCTGGGTGTTGAAGTTTCCTTCATAGCACTTTCCGGGCTTGNAAAGATGCGAGTTTATTAACAAGTTTTATTATATGGCTTGTTCTTGTAGCCGATATGAAGAGTGCTTCGACTGGCTAATTGTAGCGCGTTATTCTCCCGTAATGCCCATGGGCCGATTACGGGCTTGCAAAAGCAAAGCAAAAAGCCATATAATAAACAACTTATTAACCTGGAACGTTCGGTCTTTACGGGAAAATCTCAAACCTCGACCTTGCCGTATTGACCTCGCTATCGCTCGCTCAATACGGCAAGGTCTTGGTCGGAGATTTTCCTGTAAAGACCTCACTCTCGGTTAATAAGTAGTTAATCTACCATAGAGAACGGTAACTTCCTTTTAAGTAAGATCATCGCTGTTCGTTGAAATTGGTGTAGAGAGTTTTCTTAGGGTTAAATCTGGTGCTTAAAGCTAAGACGTGAGACAAACTTGAAATCTGTTGAACATCCATAAATGGGAAACCAATTTCCCATTCCCTTAATTTTGTTTCAGGTGGCATTCCATACTCTACCCGTAACTCATTGCCATAGTTTTAACTAAAATAGCTATCACTCTTGAGTAACTCTTCAGCTGTGGTCACAATGTTGATGTCTGATTTAACGATACTTTTGAATTCGTGGTTTTAGATGCGGTAGAGGCGATGATTCCGTCATCAGGAACGGTAAGGGCATGGTTGAATAATAACTGCTTATTAACCGGGAGTGAGGTCTTTACGGGAAAATCTCAGACCGAGACCTTGCCGTGTTGACCGAGCGATAGGTTTGAGATTTTCCCGTATAGACCGAACGTACGAGGATATGGCATTTTCTTTGTTTTTTGCAGGTCCGTAATCGGCCCGCGGACATTACGGGAGAATAATGCCCTAGAATTAGCCAATCATAGCGCGTGTTATATCGGCTACAACACAAGCCACATAATAACAAGTTGTCATGTTACGTAATCCTTCACGCGAGTGCTTCGTAACCATGGTAATGTTCGACAATGCCACAGGAACGTGCAGCACTGAGTGTTTTTGACGTATTTGCATTTCAAGACCTGGGTGTTGAAGTTTCCTTCATAGCACTTTCCGGGCTTGTCACGCAACGTTCCTCGTCACCAACGGCGTGACGACCGCAATATATTTAGTCAAATGGTTAACTGATGTCAACGATCCTAGATATGTCGAGCGAAATTAATAAATTGGAAGACGTACGAAAACATTTAGTACCCACTTGGTTTGTAAAAGACCGTACATCCTGACTGACTTCTGACACAACACAACATGCACACGAGACGCAAAATTATGGGACACGCACGTTAAGCGTATTCATATATTTTTATCTTCTCGCCTTACTGTGCTATAGTTATCATTTCTCTCTCTTTCAGAAGTGCTGTGTGGCTCTATATGATTTCAATGGCGAAAATGACGGAGATCTTAAGCTATGGTGAGAACTCGTTTGTTGATATCAAATCACAGTTGTAATGTAACACTGGCTGAAGTCACAAGGTTCATTTTTGTCACTAAACGATTCGCAAATTCTTACATGACATCTTGTGTCACCAACAACAGCTATGATGGACGAAACCTTCCAGAAACATTTTTGTAGACCGGTTTTCAATAGGCCATTTCCGAGATGCCTTTTGCCTCTGTGTCAAGACGAGTATTCGTAAAAAACCATTCACATGAAAATGTGTTCCCTATGCAGGTGACTTGATGTCGATGTTAAATTAAGTATTATCTTGCGTTTAGTGGTTTGCGAACCGGTTTCAGGATTTTTGAGGGCTGTTTCTTGATATCAGTTTTCACGGTTTAATTTTCATGATACTACACTGAATCTATAGAAAGACTTCCTGGTGAACGTAAAAAAATGAGTAGAACAGAGTACTGAAGATTTCTTGTTGTGTGTTGCAGTGCTGGGGACAAAGTCAACGTTATTAACAGTGCGGATGAAAATTGGTGGGAGGTAAGGCAACATCGTTCTCAAACTCATTAATAATTC